TGAATATCTCCAAGGATGGAGAATCCATAACCTCCCTGGGCAACCTGTGCCAGTGCTCAGTCACCCTCACAGTAAAAATTGTTTCCTCATGTTCAGAGGGAACCTCCTGTGTTTTGGTTTGCACCCATTGCCTCTGGTCCTGTCACTGGGCACCACTGAAAAGAGCCTCCTATGTCCTCTTTGCACCCTCCCTTCAGCTACACATTGATCAGATCCCCCCAAGCCTTCTCTTCTCCAGGCTAAACAATCTCAGCACTCCCAGCCTTTCCTCATAGGAGAGATACTCCAGTCCCTTAATCATCTTTGTGGCCCTTCTTCAGACTCTCTCCAATACGTCCATGTCTCTCTTGTACCAAGGAGCCCAAGACTGGACACAGCACTCCACATGTGGCCTCACCAGTGCTGAGTAGAGGCCAAGGATCACCTCTCTTGACCTGCTGGCAATACTTTGTCAAATGCAGCCCAGGATGCAATTCACTTTCTTTGCAGCAAGGGCCCATTCATTGCTGGTTCATGTTCAACTTGTTGTCCACCAGGACTCCCAGGTCCTTTTCTGCCAAGCTGCTTTCCAGCTGGACAGCCCCCAGCATGTATTGGTGCGTGGGGTTGTTTCTCCCCAGCTGTAGAACTTTGCATTTTTCCTTCTTGAACTTCACAAGGTTCCTGTCAGCCCATTTCTCCAGCCTGTTGTGGTCCCTCTGGCTGGTAGCACAACCCTCTGGCATGCCAGCCACTCCTCCCAGCTTTGTGTCATCTGCAAACTTGCAGAGGGTAAGCTCTGGCCCATGATCCAGACCGTTAATGAAGATGAAGACATTAAACAGGACTGGACCCAGTATTGACCCCTGGGGTACACTGCTAGTTACCACCCTCCAACTAAACTTCGTGCCACTGATCACCACCTTCTGGGCCCAGCCATTCAGCCAGTTTTCAGTCCACCTGGCTGTCTGCTTATCCAGCCTCTACATCAACAGCTTGTCTATAAGGATCTTATGGGAGACAGTGTCAAAGGTCTTAATGAAGTCAAGGTAGACAATATCTAATGCTCTCCCCTCATCTACCAGGCCAGTCATTTCATCATAGAAGTTTATTAAGCTGATCAAGTCATGCTGGTTACTCCTGATTATTTTCGTGTCCTTTATGTGCCTGGAAATGGTTTCTGGGATTAGCTGCTACATCACCTTCCCAGAGGTCAAGGTGAGGGTGACCGGCCTGTAGGTCCCTGGGTCCTCCTTCTTACCCTTTTTGAAAATAGAAGTGACATTTGCTTTTCTCCAGTCTTCAGGCACTTCTCCCAGTCACGATGATTGATCAAAGATTATCAAGAGTGGCCTCACAATGACATCAGCCAGCTCCCTCAGCACACGTGGGTACATCCCATCCGTGCCCATGGACTTACAGATGTTCAGTTCGCTTAAGTGTTCCCTGACCTGATCCTCTTCCACCAAGAGTACATCTTCCTTTCTCTAACCTTTCCCCCTGGTCTCTGGGATTCCTGAAGACTCACCTTGCTAGTAAATACTGAGGCAAAGAAGGTATTCAGTACCTTGGCCTTTTCCATGGCCTGTATCACTGGGTGTCCCACCTCATTGATCGATGGGTGCACATTTTCCCTAGTCTTCCATTTGTTTTCTATGTACTTATAGAAGTCCTACTTGTAGTCTTTGACATGCTTAGTTAGATTCAATTCCATTTGGGCTTTAACTTTACTAACTTTGTCCCTGGATGTTCAGACAATGTTTCTGCATTCCTCAGAGTTCACCTGTCTTCACTTCTACGCTCTGTACACTTCCTTTCTGAGTTTGAGTTTGGCTGGGAGCTCTTTTGTTTGTCCACGCAGGCCTCCTGGCATTTTTGCCTGATTTGTTCATTGGGCATTCTCTTGAGCTTGGAGGAGGTGACCTTTGAATATTAACCAGCTTTCTTGGGCCACCCTTCTTTCCAGGGCCTTATCCCATAGGACTCTTCCAAGCAGATTTTGGAAGAGGCCAAAATCTGTTCTCCTGAAGTCCAGGGTTGTGAGCTTGCTTTTCATCCTCTCCCCTGCTCTCAGGATCCTGAACTCCACCATCTCATGGCCACTGCAGCCATGGCTGCTTTTAACCTTCACATCACCAAGAACCCCCTCCTTGTTGGTGAGTATGAGGTCCAGCAGAACACATCTCCTTATTGGCTCCTCTGTCACTTGGAGGGGGAATTTCATCAATACACTCCAGGAACCTCCTGGATTTCTTCTGTCCTGCTGTATTATCCCTCCACCTGATATCAGGGAGGTTGAAGTCCCCCGTGAGGACCACAGCCTACAAACTTGAGGCTGCTCCTGTCTACAACAGGCCTGATACACTTGTTCTTCCTGGTCAGGTGGCCTGCAGCAGCCATCCACTATAATGTCACCTTTACCTGTCCTCTTTAATCCTAACTCATAAACTGATCTCAGTTTGCTCCTCTTCCATCCCCAGGCAGAGCTCCATGCACTCCAGCTGCTCTCCCACAGAAAGGACAACTCCCCCTCCTCATCTTCCCATCCTGTCCTTCCTAAAGACCCTGCATCCCTCTCCTTTGCAGCACTCCAGTCACGGGAGCCATCCCACCACATCTCCATGTCCCCAGTAAGATTCTAGCCCTGCAACTGTATGCAGATCTCTAACTTGTCATGGTTATTCCCCATTCCAAGTGCGTTAGTGAACAAATGCTTCAGAAAGGCACCCCAGCATGTTGACTTCCTAGAAAGGGTTTGGGGATTTCTCTATAATGGTGCCTTGTAGACACTTCCTTGCTTACATGCAAGTGCTGGAGGTGACCCTGCTTAAAACCCCATTTTGTTGATTTTGTAATCCCTTCCCGTCACACCACCCATGCACTTTGCTCAGTGAACCTGTCTATCACTCCCTCACTCTCTCCCTCCTCTGTCATTCTTGATTTAAAGCTCTCCTCATTGGCCATCCTATTGGCAGAAATAGCTTTGCCCCACTTAGTGAGATGGAACCCGCCTCTCCCAAGCAGACACTGATCTGCAAACAGGGTCCCACAGTCATAAAACCCAAAATGCTGCTGCCAGTTCTGGTTCCACAGCTAATTATTGACTTTTCCTATTAGTGCCCTCCTCCTTACTCCCTTTCCCCTCGCCAGCAGGACTGACAGCACCACCACCTGAGCCCCCATGTCTGTGACTACCACCTCCAGAGCTCTGTAGTCACTTTTGATACTGTCCAGGTTTCCCCTGGCAGTATCATCTGTGCCCATGTGTAGGAGGTTATAGTCAGAGGGCTGGACGAGCTTCAGTAGTTCCTCCACAAAATCCCAGATCCTGGCCTCCAGAAGGCAGCAGGCCTCTCTAGATGTTTGGTTGGGTTGACAGATGGGTGCCTCTGTCCCCTGCAGCAGGGAGTCACCCATTATAATGACTCAATGCTTAACCCTGGTAAGTCTTGCACGGTTTAGGGTTAGGTGGACCAGGCTCTTTGCTTGAAGGCACATCTAGCGCCTCCTCAGCTTTAAGGGCAGTGAGCCTATTTTGCAGTTGTAAGCCCTCAGGTGGGGCAGGAACCTTCCTCTTGGTGCCAGAAGTCACCAGCTTCCATCCTTCCCCTTCTCCAGAGGTTTTGCTTACCTTGATAGCGCAAGGTAGACACTGCCTGCTTCCCTGTTGCAGGTGGGTTCTGAGGCTCTTCAAGCTGTTAAGTCTCAGAGAAGATCCTGTTTATCTCCCTTTCATCTTCTCTGATGTGGCACAGCCTTCTCACTTGCTCTTGTAACTCCTCCAGTTGGTAGCACAGCTTCTCCAAAAAAAAAAAGAACTTGCACAACAGCCCTGCAGCCCCCCAGGCCAGTGCAGCAGGAGGGCAGGAGGGGCTCCAGGCGCCGGAGCAGAGATTCCCCTGCAGCCCATGATGAAGACCATGGTGGGGCAGGCTGTGCCCCTGCAGCCCAGGGAGGTCCATGGTGGAGCAGATCTCCATCTGCAGCCCGTGGGGGACTCCACACCAGAGCAGGGGGGTGCCCGAAGGTCGTGGGAAGGATGGACCCACGCTGGAGCGGTTCCTGGAGAACTGTCTGCTGTGGGAGGGACCCCAGGCTGGATCAGGGGCAGAGGGTGAGGAGTCCTCCCCTGGGGAGGAAGGAGCAGCAGAGGCAGGTGTGATGAACTGACCCCAACCCCCAGTCCCAGTCCCTCTGCGCCTCTCAGGGGCAGGAGGTAGGGAATTTGGGAGCAAAATCGAGCCCAGGAAAAAAGGAGGGTGGGGGGAAGGTGTTTTTAAGATTTGGTTTTATTTCTCCTTACCCTACTTGATGAACTGACCCCAACCCCCATTCCCAGTCCCTCTGCGCCTCTCAGGGGCAGGAGGTAGGGAATTTGGGAGCAAAATCGAGCCCAGGAAAAAAGGAGGGTGGGGGGAAGGTGTTTTTAAGATTTGGTTTTATTTCTCCTTACCCTACTTGATCTGATTGGCAGTAAATTAAACCGATTTCCCCAAGTTGGGCCTGTTTTGCCCATGATGGTAATTGCTGAATGATCTCTCCCTGTCCTTATCTCTACCCCCGAGCCTTTTGTTATATTTTTCTCTCCCCTGTCCAGCTGAGCAGGGGAGTGATAGAGCAGCTTTGGGGGGCACCTGGCATCCAGCCACCACAGAAGCCTCTGCCCCAGCAGGGTCAGCTGCTCCCACATCTACTGGGGAAACTGAAATGAAACATATGAATGTCTCATTTAACTTAGATTTGGTATCTGGCCACAGCAGAGCAGATGTCAAGGGGGGACGATAAAACTGCACCCTAATCTCCTGAGCTTTATAGCCTAATGCTGACAAGGGCATCGTTCCTTTCAGGGTGAAAAGTTCTACCCGACACCATCACGCAAGGCTAAAGGGAAGGAAAACACGGGCCACTAGGAATGAAAAGACAGATGCAGAAAATCATAAGGTGAAAGGCTTTGAGAAAGCTGTCTGTATTTGAAAATTCCAGAATCAGATAATTTCTAAAAATATTTAAATAAAGCCATTAATTTATGCAAATGCATTAACCCAGGAAGAACCAAAACCAAATAAACCAAACATCCAATATGAAGATTTTCTTTACAATAAAAATTCTTCTAGGCAGTGTATTAAATATGACAAGAGGGGAAAAAAAGCATCTCACAATTCATCTTCAAGGGCATCACATTTTAGAACAATGTCTTAGCCATTAATCATTTATAAATGATTCACAAAGAAATTAAATACGCTATTCCATAAAAGAATAATTTAATTTACAGTTTAGATGTAAGGCTTCACCATAACATCTCATACCCTTCACCTGCCTCTCTGCATACCCAAGTCGAGTGATCTGTACTTACTCTCCTACCAGAGTAGCACAACGTGGTGGTCCTCAAAAACACAGGTAGTGTTCAGGTTCACTTTTTACGGTTCAACGAAAAAGAAGCACTAGAAAGTGTCCTATTATTTGTCACAATAAATGCAAATGAAAAGCCAGGAGAAATAGATAAGTTATATTTGCCAGTCTGAGGGAACGGATTAGATTACACCTTGCAAAAAACAAACAAAAAAGAAGTATCTAGCTGCTAGTTATGCCATCGTATTATCAGTCATTGTGCACAACTGGGACACTGCAACTCCAAATCACAGACTAGAAACACAGTGCTTCCTTTAAACAAAGTACGTAACTTTTGTGGGGGAAAAAAAGTCATAAAAAATATCCATCTCCATAGCTATCATATGCATAACAACTATTTGCTTTACAGAGCTCCAGTTTATTCAAAATACCAAATGTAACACTTAATCTCCTTACGCATCAAGTATGAATCAGAGAAAAACCCTGCCCCAAAATACTCATTTTCAACCACAAAACGTTGCCAGAAACCTCATATTTGCTACACAGTTACCTGGTGTTCCAGTTAACATATTAATTCTGCAGACAACAGGCACAAGTACTTACTAAAAATACAGATATGTTTCCTAAAAGTAAAGTGAAGCTTTATTTAAGATGACAAAGCTTTTGTAACAGTGCAGGGTGCAAATTCTCAGTATGAAGACATTCAGAAGATTTGCTGCTCGAAGAGGATCTTTTCAAACCCTGCTGGAGGTGTATGATAAAATTCACTGAACTGACAATCCAGAATGGCACTGTCATCAACTGCAGAAGAGAACCAAACAGAAGGAATTAGAGAAGGAACACGTACAGTTTGATCCTCTGTTACACCATCTTACTAGATCATATGCTGTGCTCAAACCATGAAGAATATTCTCCAACACATCCATTACACAGATACAATAAAATTAAAAGAAGTCTCTTTGACAAATTTGCTAAAGCGCTACACACGTACCCAAGAAGAGCAAGTCGTCTCTCTCTTCTGCTGTGTACTTTAGTCAGCAATGGTCCGTGGTGAAGTCACTACCTCCGATTTCACTGGGAGCGCTAGCAGGGCTTCAAGCAATTCCCTCCAAATTTTCTACTCTATTTCTCCAGAAATCTACAGATTAAGGACACTACCAGATACATATTGCCAGGCTGTCACCTCCTCAGCTGCGTATTTTTCTGTCCACTTCCTAATTCTGCTGGAGCGTCAGCTGCCTGCGATGATTTTTCTGGAGGTTTACAAGGCTTCAGATGTCTGCGCTGGTTGGTGTCAGACCATCTGTTTCAGCATGTGATCCAAAGAGAGCTTCTTTGACTGCTTCTTTAAGTTGGAAGTTAATGGTTTTTTACAATACCTCTCCCCATTTTGGACCCCCTGCATAATCTGAGGCACAAGCGTTACTACCTTCAACGTAGACTATAAAAAGGAAACTGCTGAGGATTTTTAGAGCAAAGCTTTCAAGGTATTGCATTTGCAAACTGAGATACCCAGCCAGCCAGAAAAGCAAGGTCTCTTTCAAAGACAACTTCCTCCAAGATGGAACTGGCACACTAGCAACATTAGATCAAAACAGAAGAGCTCCACCTCCCTGTTTTGGTTTGGAATTTAGGTATCTATCTCCCAACTCCCTGTTTTGGTTTGGAATTTAGGTATCTCAGAGCCAAAGTAGGATTTTTTCCCTCCTAGGCTCAATTAAAACTCGTATTAGTGTATTTGTACAGTTCTGTAGTACTTATGCAGTGTTTGCATCTCACTTCCGCAAAAGTGCCCGAGGTACAGCTGCTCTAGGGAACAACCTTTAAGTCCATTTTTCTGTTTTACATTTTCAAGCTCAACACCATGTTTGCCTGCTCTATCATGTTTCTTTTAAAAAGATAAATGTAGTTTTAAATTGAATTATGGATAGGACAAATGCTTAAAAACTCTGTTCTCTATGGTCAAATCCTTTCACATGACTGGAAGAAGTTCACACTAAATTAAGGACATTTACAGTTACAGTTTATACCAAGTAAGTACCACGCAAAAGCAATTTGCAGGCTTCGATTGTTATAGCTGTATGGAGGAGACATGACAATTATGATGAAATTATGTCCGCTTATGGAAGATGATAATAAGAGCCTGGCAATAAAAGGTCACTGCATTCCCCAGGCACGGAACTTCTTTAGTCAGATAAAAAGATGATTTACAGCAGGCTAACATGTTGCCAAATGTTTTCTGAAAGCATTCTTCATGCTATGTAACACCATTTCCAAAATATAGCAAAGATGCAACAATGAATTACCACGCAGCAACTCTTTTCCCGCTGCTCGTGAAGCTTTTTGCACAAGGAGATCCCGCAGTGCTGCAGGGCAGCTACTGCCTGCCCACAGCATTTTAGCAGCGCCATCATGTGGCTTAAGAACACATCACAAAATGATCACATAAACCAATTTCCACTCTAATAGCTTGAAAAGATGTAATTTGTCAGGTACATTTATAGACTTCAAAGGCTCTATAACACATCCCAGAGCATTTTTTTTTCCTGTTCATAAAATTCAGTATTACAAATGTATGAAGATATAAACGGGAACATGCCAACAGTTCATTAGGAACCAACCACGAAATGAAAAAATTATCCACATCACACAGCTAATGGTAGCTCAAGAGCTAAATGATTTTGGAAGAGGCTACTACTTAGACGAAGCTCACACAGGAATAAAGACGAACTGGAGATGGCTGTAGGTGTAACACAGGGAATCCGATGAGCAGTTATGGTTTGCTGTTAAGTGACAAGCCAACCCCGAGCACAGTGCTGATTATGCACCCAGCGAGGGGAAGTGCTGCCTTTCAGAGGAGATGTTAAACAGAATTCTGACTGCTTGGGAACTACAAAACCACCGCCAAGTTCTGGAAGAGTAAACTGTTAACACATGCCTTGGCCAAATTCCGGCTTCCATAATTCATAAACTCTTTCTTAAACTGTCTATGCAGGGATTAATTGGATATGGTATTTGCTTCTTGTTCAAAACTGCTGCGTCGTATTGACGGTTGCCGGCAAAACAGCTACCACAATTCACTCACCAATATTTGGTTTTCAAAGCTGGGCATCAATGTGGTATAGCAGCAAAGAGCTGTATTGTTATACAGCAAACAGCTGTACTAGTACTACATTAAAGTTATTACTTCCATAAGAAAACACAAACAGCAATTCAGTATCTATTCGTATTTAACACTGAACACATTTATAAAGTATGTGAAATTAATAGGCTTAAATACCAAGCTTCAGAGATAGATCAGGTTAGCCCACAAGTTTACATTAGTTCAAATTTGTTGCTTTTTTTTTTTCCATCTGCTTCACAGCTTTTTTACCTGGCAATTTTTAGACCGAGTGCAGTAACTCCCCAGCTTGCTGGATGTGAACACTGTAAGAAGTCAGTAAGCGGTGCTTTTTTCCCTAGCTATTAAGCAGCATTAAAAATGAGGCAAAAATATACTTTTGTATTTTCTTAGGTTTGTATTTTCATGCAATTTATTGTTGTAGTTGCCAAAAATAAATGATTGATGTGTGTTCCGTTTAAGTGAGGAGAAGAATACACAGCTCACGAGACAGACTCAATACAAAAATATCATCCATACTGTGAAAGAGTTTGAAAATCTCTGACTTACCATAGACCACTGGATAGACAGTCCCTCGGATTCCTGAAGCTGGACAATGCATGTTCTTCCCATTTAAATATACATTTAATTCTACATGGTCATATGTAATGCCCTACAAAGTACAGAAAATTAACAAAAAAGCATCAAGTCTATACACATAAGATTACTACTTAATTTAGCTTTCTTAGCCACAGGCAAACTTTAGCACCATTATGCAAACCACAGCATCCTAGAAAAACTCACTTGAAATATTCCAGCAAAGGACTAGACGTTAATAAATGACCAGCAACATTTGTATTTTCAAATACTCAGGATTCCTTAGCGCTCATTCAGTTTGGATGCATCACAGGACTGCACACTGCATCTCACTAAGTTCACAAAACAATACTCCAAACTATTCTTCACCATGTTAGAGAAATACAAAATTTGCAATGACTTTGAATATTAAGCAGTTTGCAGTCTTCCTGTTTATATCTCCTCATGGAAATAACTTTAATAAATAGTGATGCTATGAATTATCTGTCCATGCTTCCATATAGAAACCTCTCTCAGCTCATTTACTCTGCCAGCAGCAACAGGCCATGGTTTCATACACAATGCTATAAATATGCTGACTACAGAGCAGAAAGCAAACACTAACAAGGTAATAAATTACTTATTTGTTAGATAAATGATTTTTCTCACTGTTTTGGTATGGCTTAGTGTGATGATTTGTGTTGTCATTCAGTACTTCAGAAATCTGTTTTTGTGACGGAACAAAATAAATTGCAATTTATGAAAACTGGGGAACTGGCAGTAACCCATCAGCTACATTTTTGTGATTAGTTGAAGCTGTTCAGACTACATAGGTTGACCAAAGCCTGAAACAATCTGCAACCCTCCAAAAAAAGCAATTTCAGAAGGGGATTAAAAGAATAATATAGTATCTGAGGGTAAAGGATGGAGGTGTCAACCTCAGCTGTTTGGGGCTTCTGAAGATGAAATTTCTAACCATTGCTATACAGAGGCAAGGTTACCCAACAAGAAAAAGTAGTGGTGAAAAATGGTCTAAATTTCATTGCATTGCTCCCATGCATTTTTGAAAATAAACCTCTAAGAGGACGTTGGGAAACTGACAGCAATAGAACGCAACCCTTTAAACAAAGTTGCTCAAAGATGTTTTGAGAAACCTGGAATAGTGAGTTACGAAAAAGCATAAGATTCTCCATTTGCTCCCATTCTTCCTAATTTTTCCAGTGAGCATTACCCCCTCCCCATTTAATATCTCTCCTTCCCTACAAAAGTGTGGCTAAAAATACAATTCATTTATCACCCAGGACCTCTTTCTGCTCAGCTCTGTCCTTCTAATCATTAACCACTTAGCTACAGGATCTTGGGTTCAGCTGGGCATGGTGCATGGCTATGTAATGCATTCCAGCACATTATTTGTTCAGGAAGGTCCCATCTCAAACAACGTAGGAGCCTTGTGATGGGAGTTATCCGTCAGGTAGATACTGCAACCAGCCTGCAACAGAGCCATTAGAGGCTACTTTTCAAACACTGGTAAAGTCTGTCCCTCATTCAGAAACATCTCAACGCTGAGAATGAAGTCCACTGATATCCAGGCTGCTGATCCGTTCAAATACAGCACAAGTTTGTATCAGCACTTTCGAAACTGGGAGATGCAAGCCGAACAATTTGACTGAAACCGTCAGTCTGGCCACAGAGCTGTAAATAAGAGGAATCTGGAAACAGCTGGGGAAGTAAAGAAGCCTTAAGAAACTCACCACCACATCGCCCTCCTGAGGAAGGTTGTTTGCTGGTAGTCTATTTTTCTCCTCATTGTTATAGTAGAGAGCTCCATCATTTCTCATCACCAGACTATGGACATCTCGGCCAAGTGGAATTTGATTCAAGTTTGCTTTCTGGGTTGCAACTCCAATACCCCAAATCCCTAAAATATGACATTAACATGGTAAGAAAAAAACTCAACGTTATTTTGAAGACTGAGTGAAGAAGGACAGCACAAAGAATGTGTTTTTAACTATTGCCATGGCAGTACTACCGCAAGTATCTCTTGGAAATACTAGGACTGTTGTGGGTTAGCCTTGGTAGGCAGCTAAGCACCACCCACCCACTCAGTCACTTTCCCCCACAGACCCCAGTAGGACAGAGCAAGAGGAAAGGCAGGGTAAAACCAAGAAAACTTGTGGGTAAAGATAAAAATTGTTTAATAAGCAAAGAAGTGGAAGAAAGAAAGAAAACAAATCAAAGTGATGCAATGGCAATCACTCACCACCTCCCTCGGGCAGACCAATGCCCAGCCAATTCCCAAGCAAAAGATGGCTAACCTCCCTAAATCCCCTCCTCTCCCTTTTGTTGCTGAGCATGACATTATGTGGCATGGAATATCTCTTTGGTTAGTTCGGGTCATTCGCCTGGTTGTGTCCCCTCCCAACCTCTTGTGCACCCCTGATCTTATTCGCTGGAGGGGCAGAGTGAGAAACAGGGGGCTTGTTGCTGTGCAAACACTGCTCAGCAATAGCTAAAACATTTGTGTGTTACCGGTGTTGGTTTGGTCACAAGTCTTAAACACAGCACCACAGGAGCTGCTATGAAGAAAATCAACTCCATCCCAGCCAGACCCAGTACAAGCAGTCACAAGAGACTGAAGATAAAACAGCATCTATCCTCGATACAGAGAACTGTAACCACTTAGCTTAATTTTTATTCCCAGAAAAATATTGAAAACAAACTCTAAGACTATAGAAGGATGTAAAAAATAAATCCAACTAGCATGTATTTGTGAACAACACAATTTCCTCTTTCAGCTGGTTAGTCTAGCCTTCGGGAAAAAGAAGAAATTGTAAATATGACACATCTTGATTTGGTAACATTTCTGAAACTCATACAACATTGAAATAGTCAAATTACAAAAACACAGTCTAAACTGGTACAACAATATGAATGCACAACTGCTTAGAAAACTGTATTCCAGGACTATTCATCAGTAGCACCCCATCAAATCAAAAAAGATGACTCAAGTGGGGTTTGAGGTTTTGCATTGAATGCACAAGGTCAGATACTGTTCCCTATTTATGTCAATGACTTGGAGAACGTGGCAATGCGCTCATTAAATACGCTGCCAATACCAACCTGACAGGACTGTAAGCTCTTCAGAGGCCCCTCAAGTTTTAAGTGATCCTGACAAATTGGTTAAGAGGTCTGAAATAAGGAAAATGCATTTGCTTTTTCTGAATTATGAAGAACGGCAGGTAAGTAGGAATAGTAAGTGGCACAAATACAATAGTGGCTTGGCAACTGGTTCATAGAATATAATTCGGGGGTTATCACAGACCACATGCTGCGCATGAGTCTGTGCCCTCCTGTTGTGAAAAACGTCTGGATATATGGCGTGTATAAATCCAACGTATTGTATGTACAGCAGATGAAGGACATCTACTGCTGCTGCAGCTGGAGCACAGCATCCATTTCAACCACCATACCTCAAGACAAATTAGGTCAATTAGAGATATTCTACGCAAAACAATAGAACCAATCAGAAGTGTAAAAACATGATCTATAAAGAGACAATGAAAAAAAAAAAATCACACCCAACTGGGACTGTTTAAGCTACAGAAGACTAAAATGAGACAGAAATATAAGAAAATTAGTTTCAAAAGACAAAACTGCAGAACAATTTATTCTCCTACTTACATGCCCAGAATGAAAAGGACAAGAGTGCGAACAAGATTCAGATTAGACTTCAGAAAACTTTCCAATAGTCAGGGTAACCCTACAGATGACCCCTCATAGTCTGTGCAGGGACACTTCAGGGAATTGAAGATTTAAGTTAAGTGATCTACAGTTCTCCTGCCTCGGGGCACAGGAATAGATGAGTCACAGCTCACAGGGATCAGGAGTTTAATTCTTGTTTTTCTCAAGTATAAGAACACGGATACTGTATCTGTGTGAATAATGACCACATATGAACAACAGCTGCAGTGGATTCTTCCCCCAACAGCAAGGATATTAAAATTGTCAAGTTAAGACTGATCTGGGGTTTACATGTAGTTTAAAACTAAACAACTGGTTTGACTGCAAGGGTTTGGACAGATTTGTGTTCACACTGCCTGCACTCCAATCCAACTGAATACAAATAACTGTTACCCAAAAAACGCTGGGTTCAAGCTCCAGCTGGTACCATAAGGCCTGCCTCTGGACTAACACTTCCCTTCTTCCCTTCCCTTAGACACTTAG